GAGTATATATAAATGGACCACAACATGTTAAAGGTCTCTTTTGCTTAACTACTTCACATGTTTGCCCCTCAAATCATTGCTAGATTTGGTAGGCAACATATGCTCAAAAAATGCACATTTGACCAACACGGCAAAAGGGAAGAAAAACCAAGGTCTTAGCATGTGTGTATTTAACCCAGGTTCCAATCAATTATCTTCATCATCTGTTGGCTTAGATGAATGTTAATCTTATGCAATAGTGTTGTACTTGCAATGTCACTATAATTACGTGATAATAAGGATCATTTGTTATGTTTTTTTTTTTTGAAAAAAAAAATAAATCAAGATAAGGCACATTAACATAATACATAGTTTAATAGTTTGAGTTTCAAATTAAAGTGAAATAGTTTTAAAATTATTGCATATGTTTTAAACTACACAACCTAAAACGATATCTTTTGGTTTTACATTTGAACCTAATTCATTGACTTACTATAGCAAGACCATTGTCCAGAGATTCATGATAAATAATTTTAATCACTAATTATCGTACATTATCTCGTAGGTAAAAAGGTGTGGATTTTCAAGTGTTTACTTTGTCCACGCTTTAAAACAAAATAGTGACGTAGCCTCCATTATTGAGTGCGTGTATTTATGTTTATAATTCTATGTTAGACGAGAAGCTTATTCAATCTCATAATCAACGTGCTAGTTAACTCTAATACTAAATGACATGAATTCTTTAGATAAAAATTTACACAAGGGGAGACTTGTTTCTACAAAAATATTTATATTCACATAGTGGGATAGAACTAGTACAGAATTACCCATACTATTCACAGTACAAAGGTTGTTAACTAATACCCAAGAAACACAATGAATGTAACTAACGAACATGAATGTCACAAATAAATGAAAATAATCAAACCATTGACAAAACACCGTCGACCCAACCGTAGATTCTATTTTGCAGCTGAAAACAGATTGACTGGTTAGTAACAAAAAAAATAAGATTATAGAGATGGCGTCCTCCATGTCAACTGCCACTTCGTTATGGCCACCGAGAATGTGTGCATGTGGCTTTGGACATTGTGTTATCAAGATTTCCTGATCTGCCAAAAACCTAGGGCGTATGTACTATGTTTGCCCTAGTTGTACGGTGTGTTTGTTTTGCCCCTCTCTTATGCAGTTAGTCATGTGCTTGTTCATTTGTCGTTATGGCACATATTATGCAGTCTAACTATGTATTTCACTTTTGTACGACAACGATGTGTTGCGTGGGTTGGTTGGTGTGACGAGTTTCGCAGTGAAAGATTTGCTACTGACCACCCACCTAATGTTGTCGGTACGGGGTTACGTGCGGACATTGTTCGCATCGATCAGAGCCTACGTATGCTTAGGATTGTCGTCGATATTTTGTGTGTCGGTGTTTTTATGTTGTTGTTTCGTACGTGATCCATTGTCATGGATATTGTGACATGTACGTTTGGTTTTGTATCACCTATGTTGTTGTCAGTACTGTGTACGTCCTGCATGACATAATGTTTCTGCAAAGTGTTATAAAAATTGTCTTATTCTGTTGGGGTTTTGTACTAGTATATGTAGAACTTATTTAATTGTCTATGGACTTGGGTTTCGGATGTGGACATGAAAAACATATACTCCAATTTTGTTAAACTGATACATCATTAACTGTACAAGCAGGATTGCATTTCTCATAACTCCAACTACACCAATCGCACTTGCCATGGCAACAAACCGTGTGTCACCCCATACCCCTTCCAAGAACTGAGGTAAGGCAGTTACATCAACCCAACAACAAGCAATCCACAAATGCCAGTTCGACAGTGACGATACGAAGCTGTTTCAACAACTCGTCATAGCTGAAATGGATGCGGGTAATCGACAACCGTGTGGATTATCGATGAGTGGGTATAAGAACGTTGCTAACAAGTTCTTGGACAAAACCAGCCTTCTGCATTCGGCCAAACAAATGAAAACCAAGTATGACAACTTGAAGAAAGATTGGGTTGCGTGAAAGAAGTTGGAGAATGCTAGCCAAGGGTTGATAAGACTTGGGTACGACCAAGAGATGGGTTTGTTCACAACTTCTGACTATTGGTGGGCAAAAATGCAAGCGGTACGTCGTGCAATAATTTTTTTTCCTTAATCATGTACTATTTTATGATTTGTAATGCAATATTTTGCTTTCGGCACTACTTTCTAAAATCGAAGCAATTGTTGAATATATTGAAGTTATCGTCCAAGATAATTATGCCACTTTTACAATTATTAGTTTTAATGTTTTCATTACTAGTTGGTACATGGTTAAAATTCTTTCTTGTGCACCGCACAACTTTGCATGCGTTTACACTTATTTGCATGTTTTCAATTATTGTGTCTGAATAATTATTGGAACTGATTATTTTTTGAGTAAAACATTATACAATATGAATGTGTCTATTCTTTTGTCTCAAATGAACAACCGATGTGCTAAGTTCAAGATGAATCCTCTAGAGCACTTGGAGCTCATGGAACGGGTGTACTTTGGCACAGTTGCGACGGGTAAACATGCATGGACTCCAACTGAACTGCGCGATGATGATGCTGTCGCGGCCATTGCAATCGAGGACAGCGGCATGGAACTTTTCAGTGCTAGCACACCACCATAGCTAGCCATGATACTGTCGGGGAGAACGTGGTGGATAGTTCCTTGTTCGACGATGCTCCCCCGCAATCTACCGCTGACGGATTAGCCAATGCAAAACGTTGCAAGCGGCCAGTGTCTAGTACTGTCGCTAGTAGCATGGACAACCTTGTGGAGGCTGTCAACAAACAAAGTCGGGAACTGAAAATTATGCAATATGTTGTCACAAGGAAATGTGAGAACACTGTTGGGGACTGTCTTGCAAGGCTAATGAGCATGCCTGGATTGGAGCCCGGTAGTAAGTTGTTCTCATTCGCTTGCGGCATAATGGATTCACCTGATAATCGCGACCTCATCATGTCCCTCTCCTAGGATTACATTGTCAACTGGTTAAAAGAGAAGCGTGCCTACACGCAGGCCAATGTTGGCAGGGAACGTGAACGGGACGTACGTTTGTTCGGGAGTGATGGTGTGGTTGATATAGATTAAGCTTCTTCGCTTCCACTTACTTTTGTAGTGCTGCCATGGTACTGTAGTTTAAATGTTTGGGGACTTTCATGTTCTGGACTACTTCTTTTTTATTTATTTATTTATTTATTATTATTTGTTTTTTCCTGTGTTGTTTTCGAAATATGTTTTTAGAAGAACCATATGTTTGACAATAGTGTAGTCGTTAATTACACTTGTGATGGGTGCATTTAGTTAAGTTTGGAAACATGTCGACTATTTATCTGTTATTCTTGTTTGTTATTGTTGTCAAATTTACTTTTTTTAGTTACAAAGAAGTTTTGTTTTGTTTGTTTGCTTGTTTGTTTGTTTGTTTGTTTTTTTTTTTCCTTGTGTTAATTGATGCAGGATTGAACTCATTTGTTTTTATGTTGGTAGATGAGAGGAGTAGGTTTTCACCCATAGTCTATGATGTGGGTAATGTCTGCAAAGTGTACAAGCCAGTACATGGCACTGTTGTGTTACATGCTAGACTTCTCAAATGAAGAAAGGTAATGGAATCTAGCATATGCATCATGTACTACATTTTAGAGTTGTATGTTGTAGTGTGTACGTAATTGCAACATTTATGTGGTTGTTCATTTGTGGTTCAATTTTTTCATTTATTTATATTGTTGTATTAATTTATTTATTTAGTTACTTACATTTCTGTAGGTATATGTTAGTTTATTTACTTAATTTTGTATGTGTTTAGTTATTTAGTTATTTTTATTTTCTGTATTTATTTACGTATTTAGCATTATATGTGTTGATTTATTTATATTTATTTTTTAATTTATTTACTTATATATTTCAGATTCGATTTATATTTTTAAATAAATACACTTTCTGTATTTATTTAGTTCTGGTTCTATATATTTATTCACTTACAGCTTCTATATTTATTTATTTATTTAATTTCGGTTGTATTTACTTACTTATTTATTTTTATTTTCACACTTTATTTATTTATTTGTTGTTATATTTGTTGATTTAGTTATATTTCTGTATTAATTTTTTTATTTTTTTTTTATTTTTGGTTCTTTTTATTTATTTATTTACTTACTTAATTTTGGTTGTATTTATTTATTAACTTATTTATTTATTTTTGGCTCGATTTATTTAATTATTTATATTTCTGTACCTATGTAATTGTTTAAATATTTCTTGTGCAGCATTTATGTATTTATTTGTCTCACATGTTGGTGATGCAAATGAAATTGTTGCTTATTGTTGCTAATGTGATGGCTGCATGAGAATGGAATATGGCAACCACTTTTCAGCCTGTACATGAATCACAGGGTATTGTCAAATTATAGTTCTTCATGCATCACATGGAAATAGTTGCATGTGGTACGGGAACTTGTGAAACAATTGCTATATATGGAGATGATGGTATGTTCGTCTGGAAACAAAAGATTGGTGGGACATAATCAGTTTAGTTGTTGTTGTCTTTCAAATTTCCATTATGTGGAAAAATTGCTGCTTATTTACACTACTATTTAATGTATTTATTGGAACCCAATTTTTGGCAAGCAAATGTTGGAAACTGTAAAAGGTGGTTACTGTCAACAAACCTAGATAAATTGGATCAATTTTTAATTTTTTTTTTCGGTATTAATGGTTCCAATCCAGCTTATTTTATAAACTGTATGCAATTCTTGTATGAGCTTTTTCTGTGGTTTGTAGTGTCCATGGATCCGCAAGAGGGTACTAGCCCCGGAGTCGTATGCAATGGGTAAATAAATGCATGGATACGAGAGATGATCGGAGATATGGAATCGACGACATCAGTGATATATGGATGGAAATTGCACACGTTGCCAATGAGTATGTGTATGTTGATAGGACTCCATTTCACAATTCATCATTGACTGATCGCTTGTGAATGAAAGAGATGCTTCGAGGTCGAAATGAAGCATTTCAGCGAAATTTTTGGATGTCAAGGGATGTGTTCTTATTGTTGTGCAAGACATTAGTTGAGGATTTCGGTCTCCCACTACCACAGCGTCCACATGGTGTGGACATAGTTGAGAGTGTCAGCATGTTCATATTCGCGTTGCAGGGCTTCTCGAGTTGGGATATTGAAGACCGCTTCCAACACTCGGAGGAAACAGTATGCTGTCATGTAATGCGCGTTCTTAAAGCAATGAAGTGCACATTGTCGACCGACGAGGTCACAACACAGCAAACATCCGTACTTAGAGTCTCGACGAAAATATTTGCCATTTCGAGTGAGTTTAATCATTTACCAAACATTTCATGAACAGTAACCACATCTTTGTTAACAAGGGATTATAATTTTGGGTGTTATGTGTTCATCCTTGTCGTTTACGCAATTGCTGTGTGTGCATGCCCAGGACTGTATTGGCGTGCTAGACGGTACACATGTAGAGGCATATCTCCCACTGCGAGAGGTAGCTCCATATTTTGGCCGTAAAAGATGGCACACACAAAACATACTCGTGGTGTGTGATTTCGACTTGTGCTTTACTTTTATCTCTTGCAAATGGGAAGGTAGTATGCACGACGATAGAGTTTTTAATGAAGTAACACAGGACCCGACCAAACAATTCTCCACCCTAGAAGACGGTTAGTTGAATTAAGGGTGTTCACATCTTTGTTAGTTGTGTGCATTTCATTGATAAATGATATTACTAATGCAAAATTATCTTATGACAACCAGGAAAATACTACCTTGTTGATGCGGGGTACAAGAACCAAAAAGGCCTTTTGGCGCCATTTAAGGGATGCCGATACCACCAGGAAGAGTTTCCCACTACTGGATGGGCAAGAGATGCAAACGAAGTTTTCAACACAGTGCATTCCTCCTTATGGAGTGCAATTGAACGTACATTCGGAGTATGGAAAGCACGCTGGGGATTCCTACATAACATGCCTCGATATGATTTTGGGAAAGTTAATGTGCCATTGGTCGGGGCTTCACTGGCACTACATAATTTTATACATCGTAACTCCAACAACGATGAAGCCTTCAACAAAGTTGCCAATGCAGAGACCTTTACTTTCAACATGCCAAATGTTGCGGGTGTTGGTGATGACGATGATGGTGAACTAGAGGGCGATGATGACATACATATTAACGAAGTTAGGAAATCAATTCAGAATGAGTTGGTGTGACATCGGCGTCAACTTGGGTGTAGTCCTATTCGGGCTTTACCAATTGACGGAAAATGATATGAATGTGTCAAACTATTGAACTTGTTATAAAAATTGTCTGGTTGTCTTGGTAAAGCAAAGGTTGTCAATTGCGTTTAGTAGACGTAAATGTGGAAAAAAAATGAAGGGAAGAGCGCAATTTCTTCACAAAAATTTAATAAATTTAATGTTACATTGAATAATTTAATTATTTTAATGTGATGTATAGTGTAACATTGAATAATTGATTAAGGCCGAAATGTACGTCATTGAGGCCGTTAATTAGAATCTCTTAACTTCACTTGCTGGTCAAACTGTATATTTTATGTGTGTTGAGTGTCAATCAGGTTGTACATCGTCGGAGCATAAAATGAGCAAAAAGACAGAATTTGGGCAGAGTTGACTTTCCCGCACGTGCGTTGACTTTTTCCCAAAACCCTCCAACCTCCATGGCCACCCTCCTTACCAAAGTTCAAAAATATATAAACGCGGAAGATTCTATGGTAGCCTGCCAAGATACCCCAACCAGGTATATTGTGCCTTAATAAGTTATTGGTCTATTTTGTTTTTCTAATACTATTAAGGGTTTAATAAGCTATTGGACCTATTTTACTATTAAATGTTTTAACAATCTTGGGGCTCTTTTTAAATTCATTGTGAGCCCAAGACCATTGTCGTTGTCAACAACTCATTGTTAACATCTTCTAGTCTAGTTTTTATTTGTTGAAACTGGCACTATGATATATTGGGTCTTTTTCTAGGGTTTTGAAGAAACCCTAGCCATGTAATAGGTTTTTCTTTTTTTGATTTTATATTATGTAAAGGTTTGACCCATTGTATGATGTTTTAGAAATTCTTTATATATAATCTTCATTATCTTTTCAAATATTTTACTTTCTGTGATTGTTGAATATTATCCATACATGAGTTTTCTATTCCTTCACATTCAAGGTATGGGACGAACCATGCTACAAGGAACGAGTCGTATCACTACCCTAGTTTAGAGTGAACGATTCGTATTACTTGAGATGGTTCGTGCTCGTACATTGAATGTGATGATCTTCTTGTTAAATGCTTTGAGCTTGTAGTTGCGAAGCATTAATCCGTTCAAACCATAGCATAATTAATTTCAATTGGAAGCCCTAATTATGTGGTTAGTGGTGAATTCTCTACCCTAGGATTTTTCCCTAATTCAGTAAACCCAATTTCATTTATTATTGATAATTTAATTCCTTAGTTTAATTTATTCGTTATTAAATTAGGTTATAAATAACCAATCTTTTTATCAAAATTAATTTAGGAATTTGACAATTAAATTAGTTTAATTTCACAATAGTCCCTGTAGATTGATACCTGGACTTGCCATTATTCTAATAGGATTTGGTATAGTTTAGTATTTAATTTTGGTGTGTTCAACGACCCATCAAATTTTGGCGCCGTTGCCGGGGATTTCTGGCGAAATTAGTTAATTTAAAGTTACATTCTTATTTTAATTTTTAGTTTAGGATTTTATGCTTTTGGTGTTACGAAGTGTGCAGAGCGTTTGAAATTGTAGCTATCACTGAAGTGCAAGCGGAGCACAGCCGAGCTTTAAAAATAAAATTAAAAAAAAAAACCGCAGCGCTAAAGTGAGTAAACAGAAGCAAACACTCACAAGCAAAGCACCAAAGTGCTAAAACGGAAGTCAAAGCTCAAACAGAGGTTGGAGACAACGTCTACACGTCAACCATCCGTAAGACGAGTAAAGCGTTTTCGTTAAACCGCTGTGAGTATTTCTTCCTTTGGTATTTTGCTTTCATACTTAGTGCACAGAGTCGGAACTTGTTGTGTGTGTTTGGGTAGTGTATGCACGGGCGTCGTTCTTGTCGCCCTGAATTATGGAGTTTGGACCTTGAACTAGAAAGGACCCTTAGGAGACTTAGGACCTCTGCCCGTATTCCTAGGCTTGAATATTCATACATTGAGCCATTAGAGATGGCAGATCCTAATGTCCCGAATGAGCCTAACCGGACACTTAAGGATTATTTTACACCCACCGCATATACATCACCATCATGCATCCAATTACCCAACACCACTGCTGCTCATTATGAGATTAACTCCAACACTATACAAATGCTCCCATCATTCCATGGACTAACTCATGATGACCCTTATAAGCATTTGAATGAATTTTTGGAAATTTGCTCGACAGTGAGGATCCAGAATTTCACAAATGAGGCCTTAATGTTGCGATTGTTTCCATTCTCGTTAAAGGATAAAGCCAAACACTGGCTAAATTGTTTACCTGCTAATTCAATCACAACTTGGGACCAATTACAGCAACGATTCTTGGAGAAGTACTTTCCCATAGGTAAAACCAACCAACTTAGGCGAGCCATCACAAACTTTGCTCAAATGGATGGCGAGCAATTCCATGAGACGTGGGAAAGACTTAGAGACCTTCTCCAACAGTGTCCCCACCACCAAGTGCCTGATTGGCAACTTGTTCAAACATTCTATTATGGCTTAACAGAGCCACACCACCAAATGGTGGATTCGTCCTGTAGTGGGACATTTATGTCTAAAAATGATGTCGAGGCATGGCAATTGTTTGAGAACTTAAGTGATAATTCCCTTCACCATGCCTCCGCAGCCTGGCAAGTCCGGCAACCCGTAGTTGGAGCCCCGAAAAGAGGGGGCATTTATGAGGTCGGGCAAAACCTAGAGTTAGCCCAACAAGTAGAGGCACTATCCTGCAAGATAGACCACATATTAGCTACGGGACATGCCCCTACCCAGCAAGATCATCCTCAATTCTGTGAGGCATGTGTTATATGTGCGAGCCCTGCTCATGACTTGAGTGAGTGCCCTTCGGCATCACAATTTCCGGAGTTAGTCCAAGAGCATGTGAATGTGGCTCAAGTATTCTCCAACCCGGGTAATGACCCATACTCCAACACATATAATCCGGGATGGAGAAATCACTCTAACTTCTCATGGAGACCCCCTTCACAAGGCACTTCTTATAATCCTCTACCACCAAGGCAGAATTTCAATAATTTTGCCAACCAATCATCCTACCAACCACCGCAACCTTATCGACCCCCACAACTGTACCGGCAACCACAACCCCTGCCTGGTCCTCAGGGCAACTCTGCCTTTGAGACTCAGGTGTTGGAAGTTCTTTCAGAACTTAAGGGGTTAGCACCAATAGTTCACTCCCACACTCACTCTATTGCCAAGATAGAGACCCAATTGGGTCAAATAGCTAACTACATGAATCGAAGAGATGAGGGAAAATTACCAAGTCAAACTGTAGCCAACCCTAAGGGACAATATAGGGTAGAGAGTTCGGGTGGGAATGGTAAGCAACATGAGCAAGTGCAGGCGGTGGTTGCTTTAAGAAGTGGTAGGGAGTTAGAGCCTCAGTCAGTTGCGTCTGATGCAACTAGAGTTAAGAAGGGTGACATTGGGGGTACACCTAATTAGAGCAAGGGTGAGGGGGAAACACTTAAGAGGGATAAGTTAGTCCCTAACACTCCATATGTGCTTAAGGCACCCTTTCCCCAATGCCTCGATACACCGTCCCCTTTTAATAAGAATGCGGCATCTATGGAGGCAATGATGGAGGTCTTTAAACAGGTAAAAATCAACCTCCCCCTGTTGGAGGCGATTAAGCAAGTACCATCATATGCGAAATTTCTGAAGGACCTTTATACGCAAAAGCGTAAATCTAGGACACATGTGTCCCAAAAGGTCCTACTCACGGAACAAGTAAACTCTATCTTGTTGAATGACACACCTCCTAAAGCTTAAGGACCCGGGTGCCCCAACCATTGCATGCATTATAGGGGACCATTTCATTGATAGGGCCTTATTAGATTTAGGGGCTAGTGTCAATTTATTGCCGTACTCTGTGTACGAGGAATTTGGGCTTGGCGAGTTAAAGCCCACTACTGTCACTCTTTAATTGGCTGACCGGTCCCTCAGAGTGCCACGTGGCATGATTGAGGATGTGCTAGTTAAGGTTGATAGGTTCTACTTCCCTGTTGACTTTTTGGTGTTAGATATGGAACCTGTAACCAGTTCTAAGAAACAAATCCCGGTGATCTTAGGTCGACCTTTCTTGGCTACGACCAATGCATGCATAAATTGTCGGACCGGGGTTACGGAAGTTTCATTTGGCAATATGCAAGTGAAACTTAATGTTTTCCAAGCATCCCAACAACCTCATGAGAGAGAAGAGTGCTTATTAGTGGATGTTGTGGATGGGATTGTGGAAGAGGCTTTGCCCTCCATTCTTGTAGAGGACCCTTTAAAGGCTTGTCTAGGTCATTTTGGGTTTGAAAATTTTGATATTAATGGGTCAGTTGAGGAGGTTTTGAAATTGTTGGATGCGGGTATCATATACCCCATCTCAGATAGCAAATGGGTGAGTCCCACACAAGTGGTGCCCAAGAAATCGGGCATCACCATTGTTGAGAATGAGGGAGGAGAGTTAGTCCCCACACGAACCACTACTGGGTGGCGAGGCTACATTGATTATAGGAGATTAAATTCCTCGACTAGGAAGGATCATTTTCCTTTACCCAGGGGTTTGATGGACCCATTTTATTATGATTGATAGATTGATTCCTTATTCTCTTTTCTTTCCCTTCTATGCTATTATGTTTTTTCTTTTTTCTCGTTATGCTTTACTTGCGTCTAGGAGACTTTAAATCCTCTAAAGGTGTAATTCCTTTAGTGTTTGCCGTGCCCGAACGCATCTGAAAGGTCTGTATATAGCCACCTAACCGTGTGTTGTAGTGAGTTTCCTAGGAGACCAACTGAGACGGTGGAAATAGAGTTCGAATGGCAAAGCCTAGAAACACAAAGGTTTGGGATTTCCGAGATTAGGTCTGGTTTAAAATACCAAGGGTTGTGGAGATTGCTTCAAAACTACTCGGCTTGAACTCTGTATGGCACGCCCATAGGTTGAGGTAGCTTTATAGCCTCTTGAT